CATCAACTATTGATCATACTAAAACTGTTCAGAAACCAGTGCCATTATTTCTTCTATATACTCCATAGGTAGTAACAGTGTTGCAAATAAAAATCCACATACACCTACATGTATATATAAACCCAGTACATGGACCAGTGCAGGTAGACAACAGAATGAGGGCTCGAAATTAACATTGTCCCAGTGTCAAATGACACTAAATTATCAGCTCGGGACGTTTTGGGACAATTTCGGGGCAACTGGAAAATTCTGACACCGTCCACGTCATTTAGGAAAGCGATCCATCCACTAAGGTGTACATGCATCCAGTGTTTCGAGCCTTGTCTAGATGTTGTGATACTGATAGTCACAGGTATCAGCGTTAATAGCTTACCCTGTCTCATCACTTCAGATGGATATGACATCTGGGATGATTCTGATGTCTCTGTTATCTTACCTGATCTTGGATACATCAGTAGATAAAAGCCACACAGTGTATAATGTACCCAGCGGTGTGGCCTTTCGGCTTTGCTAATATTTTTCCTGGCAAGTAGAGGTCTTCCGGGGTCCCTGCGGTATTGTTTTGATTTATTTCTGTCCTATTGCATTTGCATGAGGACCCACGTTTGCTTAAATACCCATTGAAATGGCCAGATATGATACCAAATCTTCAGAAATGCGCAGTATAAAAATACACAAAAACCTGAAAAATGTCCTGTATAAAAATATCATTTCTAGTAGCAGTAGTACAGTTTCTGAGGCCTGGTGTATCTCATTGGCCCTGAGCCATGACACCCCCTCCCCCCTGAGTCCCCATGTAATTACTCGTAGGAACAGGGACACTCCATACATGTACCAAGGGATAAACCATCAATGAAACAGGGAGGGTATCAAAAAAGGTTATTACAGATTTTCTATAGAAAATTTAATGTGCAGAATTATTTATTCCAAACTTTTACTATGGGTCTAACACTTGATGCTGAAAAACAGGATTCTTTTCCAGCAAGTGTTCATAATAACATATTATTAGTATGAAGTTTTATGCTTATTATACATGATATATTATGGCAAAGCCTGGCAAATTACCTACAATCATCAAAGCTCCAAATACCAACATTTGCCACCTCTAACAAATTGGCCTCTATATTTTAGACCTTATCCATGTTTACCAATGGAATATTGTCACAGTTATTGAGACTATAGTTTACAATATATTGATGATGTCGGCATTTTCTGTGGTACAGTAACCTTGAGCGATCATGGCCTGACCATTCTTACGTGCCGTGCTACCGGCACGCATTCATGATATTGTATTGATCTACGCAGAGCTGTTGCCAGCATTCACTGAGGAACAACTCTTTCACATTGTTGTAGACAGGGCTCAAAATACTTCTTTCTGCATATACCTGCACTGGTGCAGGTAACTTTGAAAATTACCTGCACCAGACAAATTTTATCTACACTACTCAGACTAAAAAGTACATGTATGGATCATACTAAAAACTGTTCAAAAACCATTGCCATTATTTTTTCTATACTCCATAAGTAGAAACAGTCAATGTTGCAAATAAAAATCCACATACACCTACATATATTATATATATAAACCAGAAACCCAGTACATGGACCAATGCAGGTTAGGGGCAGGTACACAGAATCAGGGCTCGAAATTAACATTGTCCCAGTGTCAAATGACACTAAATTTTCAGCTTGGGACAATTTGAATTACGTTTTGGGACAACTTCGGGCAATTGGAAAATTCTGAGACCATCCACGTCATTTAGGAACACAATCCATCCACTAAGGTGTATGCTTCCAGTGTTTTGAGCCCTGTCTAGATGTTGTTATGCTGATAGTCACAGGTATCAGCGTTAATAGCTTACCCTGTCTCATCACTTCAGATGGATATGACATCTGGGATGATTCTGATGTCTCTGTTATCTTACCTGATCTTGGATACAGCAGTAGATAAAAGCCACACAGTGTATAATGTACCCAGCGGTGTGGCCTTTCGGCTTTGCTAATATTTTTCCTGGCAAGTAGAGGTCTTCCGGGGTCCCTGCGGTATTGTTTTGATTTATTTCTGTCCTATTGCATTTGCATGAAGACCCACGTTTGTTTAAATACCCATTGAAATGGCCAGATATGATACCAAATCTTCAGAAATGCGCAATATAAAAATACACAAAAACCTGAAAAATGTCCTGTATAAAAATATCATTTTTATTACATATACCTGTGTCAAATTGTATCCAAATAATCTTTTTCCAACTAGGAATGTCTTTTTGGCATCATATATGCATTTTATATATAAGATTTGATTTTCATGTGAAAAATATTCCACAATACTTGTTGCAACATTTTTGTTTCAGCTTCAGTAAAAAAAAACAGTTGCCCCCATAATAACTTAAATTTTGTGCAAAATCACCATCCATACGATCTGACGACATAATCACAAGGGTAAAACACAGGTCAAATTCACCATTATGATTAGTCCTATTAATCATTATATTAATCATACAAATTACCCGTCTGCCTCAGAAAGACTATTCCACCCATTCAGGCTGTTGCTATGTCAGTAATGTGGAGTCTTAATTGATTTATTGAGCTCATGAGATAACATCTTAATGCAACCCTGATTTGCAAATCATGTCAATTAATCAACACCAATATACTACTAAATATCTAGATAGAACATCTATGGGTATCAAAGAGACTACATGTATATTTGCTGGTATGTTCCATTTTTAAAGACAAGAAACGATTTAACAAGTGTGTATGTGATATGCAGTTCCTTCCATTTAATTTAAATGATAAGCTACTGGTCTATGTTTAAAAAAAAATTGTATAAACATTGCACCAAATATCAATCTATCTATATATAATCCATATTATTGTTTATGCAGTTTTTGCATGTTGTAATGTCCAACTGTAATTAATAGCCTCGACCCCTACTAGTACTTGGCAAGCAATGCTTGAACCCATAAAAAAAAATATTGTACTTATATAGTTTGAAAATCCTGTAAGTAGCCTATTGCACAAGTTGGCTTGCAAACAGGACTAGCTTCTATGGATCGAGAACTTTGACCAAAAAAAAAAGTCAAAATCGATTATTCCTCTTATAACAAACTTGACAAAAAGCCAACTTGTCTGACACCGGTACAATTGAACAGCAGACATTTTTGGCACAAAAATACTGTACAATCTCTAGTCGCCTGCATATGACAGCAAGCTTGTCATGCTTGCAGCAGGGCTCGAAATAGTGGGTGCATGTGCACCTTAGTGCACCCAAATTTGGAGCTGTGCACCCAATCTATTTCTCTGGGTGCACCAGTGCACCCAAATATTTTTGTAGGTTTACATTTTAGATGTTAAATGTAGTATACAACATCTTCTTAAAATCTCAAGTGTCAGAAAAATAATAAAATCATTGTTTTAGTACTTTTCTTTAGAAATGAAACATAATTTGTTTTTGCTGACATTCTATATTAATTTCATTTTATACATGTATGGTGCACCCAAAAAATTTTGTGCACCCAATTTTTTAGGTTGGGTGCACCAGTGCTCCTATTCCCAAAAATGAATTTCGAGCCCTGTTGCAGTCAAGTTCATGTAAGGACATAAGGACATTCCAAGATACACAATTACCAGGTAATGGCCACAGCGGTACCAAATATATCAATAAGCAGCTTTCAGCGCGTATAACAAGTTTACTTTGGGCTGCACGCTGAGATCATTCTTGACCTTAACTACATCTATACGGCATGATTCATACGTGCACGTTACCGGTATTGACTAGCTAATGCATTCCTGGCAAAATGTCAGCAACTGCTGTGAACATACACTGTGAACATGGCCAAATTACTTTTCTACACAATCTAGAATATAAAGCTGACATTAAATGGGTTAATTTCTGCACTACAATTTCTTTTCTTTGGGTAGGAAACAAAGAGAACGTAAAAACACCAAACAGGTGTTCTTTCACAATTCTACTTTGTCTAGACCAAGGTTACCAGACTAGGATAATGAAGTCATCTGTCGTCAGACTGATCATAATTGCTTGTATCGTGGTGCTTTCCCAGGGGAAATTCGTAACCTACCCAGAGGACAGAGCTGTTCCCAATGATCTATATGCAGTGCCTGTTACTGTGTGTCACAGGCCAAGAATCGGAGACACAATGTTTAACACAATGCTTTTCTACAACATTCTGTGTCACTTCCAAATTGGTAGACACTTTAAACCAACCAATTTTATCTAGGTACTATAACAACAAAGATAAAAGTGAACACGATTTTTTTTCTGGCAATAAAGCTAAACAGTGAACACAATTTTTTTCTGGCAAAAATATGGATGTGTTCAATTCCAATGGAAAATGATCAATCCAGAGTAGTTTAAGAACCATGAATCATTATTGAAAATATAATACAAAATAAACAAGCAACTGATCAAAACCTCTGAAGACAAGTGTACCTTGTATGTATATAAATATCTTGAGTGCTGTTAATGTATAAGTTAATGTACACAATGTAGATAAACTGTAGATAATACATCTGGTTTTAGTTAAGTAAACTAGATAAATTACAGTGTGATGACACCTTAAATATCAGCTGGCAGCAATTAATCAATTATACAATAAGGCTGTTTACTGTTTTATTATACTGGGAACAATTCTGAATGGATATCCAAAATGGGTATGAACAAAGCTGAATAAACAACAGGTAATCCAACCACACACTATTTGCACCACACCTACATAATTGGCAGCCCACCTGAGTCACCTGTATTCAGGTGTAACAAAGGTGTAGACATCACCTATGGAACATGTCCCATTGTTATGCCTGTAAATCTATTTTCATGGTGTCATAACTGTCGTGAATTTGGCGTTCGTGATGTTGGGATGGTGTTTTGGTGTCTTACGTGCCAAAAATGGGCACAAATGTATGCAAACTGGGCAGCAGGCCACCGGTCCCAGGCACTTCCAAATAAAAACATTGCGCAGTAGCCTGCCACATTCGCACCCACACGCACGCACAAGTGTAAGATAGAAATCTGCACTCACAAGAACGTGTCCGCCGGCCCTATAATGAGGACTTCCCACTTGAAAACATCGGAGTCGTCTATGAGTCCGGCGGAGAAACCCTCGACCGGACTTTTGCTCAGGTCTGTGGGAATGAGAAGGGGACAGGAAACACAGACATTTGTCATTTCAGCAAGTGCACTCACCACGCATTGTCCCTGAAAACATTCCAATCAGTTTTTCTACCCATATATCCCTCCACTGCGACGATTCTCGGTCAGATTTTACACATATCGATGTACCAGTTCATATTATAGCTGTTAGTGTAGAAGATTTCGCCGAAATCTGAGAAATTTTCGCTGATTTCGGTCAGACGTCAACACTAGAAGTGGAATTCACCCGGATATGCTTACACACACACACAACGTCGAGCTCACTTTTGACAAAGTTTTTTTCCAGAACCGAGAGAACATCGGTGTTAGAAGTACCTGCAAGCTGTTTCCCAAGCAGAAGAGCGGCCTGTGCCTCTGACATGGACGGAAACTATAGCGTAGAGACGTCAAAATACAAAAGAAAACTGCAAAGACACAGAGAAACTCTCTTCTCTCCACACCTCAGCTGCTCGGACTCCTACACCACTATCTGCGCATGCGCATTCCAGAATATTGGGCCAATTTTACCCATCATGCAATCTCAATGGACCCGTCCACTATGTTCATGGGGAACATAAACTTTTGTAAAATTAAGTTCAAGGCCACATTGACTTGATTTTGTGAAAAATATTGCACCAATACCGATTGACAAAATCTGTTGTACTACATGTAACTCTGATAGACTTTGGGGAACTGCTCTTGACAGCATTCATAATTTCTGCAGGGCTCTTAAATTTTGCAAATGCATCGATAGGTCTGAGTTACCATTCAATGCATTAAAATTTGTAATAAAAATGTTGTATGAATCTATGATAGTCAACTTTTGCAGTTGCTTTCCCATTATCATTTTATTGCCTCACATAATACTAATGCAATGAAAAGAAGTTGCACACAACACTCCTTTGTTCATATCAAATCTTACAATACTAGTACATTAATTCCATATTGTACAATCTTATGTCATAAAGAAATATTATAATCAATCAAATTCAAAAACTCAAACTCCTTGTTCTGCATTTCAGTAGAAAAATAGTTTTTAATAGACCTCCATATTTCACAACACAGCAAAATGTACAAACATAAGCCTTCGAGCAGCCAATACAACCAACTTGTAACTGTAATATAATTTACAATTTACATGCATGTGCAGGGCTAGTCTAATAGTATCTAGTACAGATCTAGATTTCAACCAACCATTGGATTTTACCTATTATGTGCAATAACTGCACCATATGTACACTATGTGACATAGCAAACAACCAGCACTAGCTGCAAAAACATAATTTATTGTACACACATCTTGAGAACATATTTGCCACTGTGCAAGTAAGAGTTCTACTACTGTTATTTCAGTAAGAAACAAAAATATTAAACACATCATTGCCTACAGGCAAGTGAAAGTTATTAGGAGGACATACATTACAATTTTTAATGTTTATTTTGTTATCACATTCTTGCAGTTAGCCCTCGGGCATGAATTTGCAATAAACTTTGAAATGTAAACACAATTCCTTTGCAGATTAGACTTGTACTAATTCTATTTCCTTTCTTTTATTATTGCTATTTTTTAAAATCTATCATAGCATGGTGTCTTCTCAGACATGATGTCTGCTGTGATACTCTTTGCAGCTTTACTCTCAAAGCACCAAAGAGACTTAGGTCCTCCCAAAAGTAAAGGTAGATGTGTTGTCGAAGACGGGAGTAGAGTTCTCAGATGTCTTCATGGCTGTCTTGAGGAATCTTGACGTGATTTCAGCACTTTAGGTGTGCAGACACTGGCAGTCATGGACCACAATGGAGTTGTAACTTGTTGAATCAAACTATCTCAGTGGTTTCACCTGTAAAATAACAAAAATTGCATAACAGCATGAACCCACAGGATACATAGGCAAATGGCAGGCTGCCATCAAGCCTCAGCATCAGTGTGCAAGTACATCTAACCCTCAGACGATGGGGAACAAGTGATGTTTAACTGGACAGTGAGTGTATAAGTGTGTGAGTAGAATATCTAACTGTCTTCAGCAAAATGAAAAGACTGAATGACTGAATGACTTGTACATGTACTAGATCCCTTTATCTTCAGTACATACTTGTTTAAGAAAGCTCTTTCTACACATCATCCACTGACACCTATACAAAATGTTCCATGGTCAGCATTGTATTTTAATTATCATTTTTTCTTAAAATACATTAGCTCACTTCCCATGGGGGATATCAAAAAAGAAAGTTTCTTTTGCTTAACTAAACTGCAGACAAGCAGAGATACATGTACAAAATGTACTACCTTGGCAATGAACATCACCACTGCAGTCGAGACAAAGTCTTCTCTAGCCATGGTTTCATCATAAACTACACTGCCAAAAGCCTAAAGAGACAAAATCAAAGGGTTAGCAAATATCATTGAAAGCTTTTGACTCAAAAGTCATGCAATGGACATACACATGTACATCTACTATGAAGCTTGTATGTTTATACATACAACTTGGATATCATCGAATATGATATGCAATGCAGACACATGACTGCTATTGGAAGCTACTTTGGTATTACAAAAGTATAGGTTTACACAGGGTTGGATCAAATTTTTGTTTATGGCAACTGAAACCATTATCTACAAAGTAATCTTAATGCTTGATTTGAGTGGTTTCAAATTGTTTCTAAATGTGAGTGATCCTTTGTATTATATACATATACATTTATTAAAAGAGAGGGAAGGTCAGTACATGTACAATATATCTACTAGTATACTACTCACATTATCCAAGGCAATAGCCAGAGCATCTGGTCTGAGTTTTGAAGCCCCTTCCAGGACACTGGAAAACAATTGGCAAATTCTGAATTATCAACAGTCAGACGTTAAATCAATGATCTATGTCTGAATGAATGGAAATGTCCAGTAGTCATAGTATATCAGACCATCAGTTATGAAAGGCAACAGTGAATACCCTTAGGTCAGTGCATGTCTGTATATCTGAAAGCGGAACTGTTTTTATCCTATTATCTTCTCAAAGACTCAAACATACCTTTTAGGGTCATCCTTAGTGACATTCATGGCAGAATTGAGCTGGTTCAACACCGTGTCACACAGCTCCTTGTCAACTTCCTTTTTGTGTGAAGTGTCCAGAACAGTAAACAGCCCATCTGCCTCTGCATAGAAGTCTAATATGGACAACAAGAAAACATTAAAACAACAAGGTTCAGATTATTTGAATATGACAATTTGCAGAATGAGATTTTAAATTGTAGAAAATTCTCAGATAGAATTTTGGGAGTGATTAGCCCAGGCATACAAAAAATGTATATTAAATATATTTCTACTTGATAAAATCTATATGAATATCCGGAAAATAGATGGAGGCCTGGCAAACCCCGTCTCATTTTCTTTTTTTTTTATTTCATTTTTTTCTAGTCCATTTTACATAAACACACTTTGACACATAACATAAAGAAACAAGAGTTCCACGATCTCATACCTTCGCCAAAAGATGTTAACCCTTGCGTGTGACGAATTCTACAATTTTAATCATTGATTTTGTAAATAAGAGCCTCATTTGCATGGATTATATCAGTTGATCATATTCTCCACCCAATGACAGCCTTATCATAACAAAGAGGCTATTATAGCACTTCCTCATAAATTATGCAAATGGTGTCATGATTTGAATAAATTATGTTTATTAATGTTCACCTTCACTTAACTTCCAAATGTAGCAAGTATGAAATTCGGGGTGCAGCAGTTACAACTATGGAATTATAAGAATTTGCCATTAATTATGCAAATTAGGTCCTCATTTACATAATCTATATCCTCAGATGTTTTTCTCGTTCTCAAGTAGATGTCACAGCTGTTTCATAGTTCTATTATCGAACAAATCAGATTTATAGAATTTCCTCATTAATTATGCAAATTAGCTCCTGATTTGCATAATTGCCATCTGATTATGTCAAACATCACTTCAACTACCTACATACCAAAAATCACGACAATACGTCAACCGGTTCTTGAGTTATCGTCCTTCAATTTTTTTTCAACAAATGCCCCTGCAGTTCCAGAACAAGGCGCTAGGGGACCCAAACTCATGTCACTTCTTCCCTACCCCAAGAGCTATCTACCAACCAAAATTCGTGACCCTAGCATGTCCAGAACATGAGATATCAAAACCGGAAGTTCAGCTGCAGTACCTAGCAAAGCCGCCAGGGGGCCCAAAATCTAATCATTTCTAGGTCTAATGAAGTCCTACCTACCTACCAAGTTTCATTCCAATCCATCCACTGCTTCTCGAGTTATCTTGCTAAACCACACACACACACACAAACACACCCACCCACACACACACACACAGACAAACGCTACTGAAAACATAACCTTCTTGGCGAAGGTAAAAACAGTAAGAAAGAAAAACCTAATCCACACATCCATCCTACAATAATATAAAGGAAATAAATATCTAAAATCATTGTACATGAAAACAAATTACGATAGAGTTACTACAATAGTAAAAGTATGACAAAGTCTCATCTCGTATTAGCCACACAGTGATTTACATAATCACCCTTGCTTACTCCCAAAAGAAAAGTGTGAAATGTGTATAACACTTATGGAGATCCTAACAAAACAAGCAAACAAACAAACGTTGTCACTCTTACAAACCTAAGAAAATGAAGCAGGTCATGACCCCAGAGTGGAAGATGTCATATGGGATGACCTCGTTCTCATAGCAGAGGAGTTTCTTCAGCAGTAGCTCTGACATCTCACTGGGCACCTCCCTGGTAGAAAAAAATCATTCACAAACTTAAAAATAAGGAAAATGATACAGTCATCACACAATTGGCCATAACAATTAAAATAGATATCATAGCTTATCATCAACTAATCTGTTACAATTAGGCATTTATGATTATCTCAATTGCAAAGCTCCCACGTACATATGTACACAGACTTCGTGCATTTAGCAGATTATATTGTTGAAGATTCTGAGAACATAAAATGATTGCTATGTACAGCTGCCCCCTAGTGTTTCAGTATTAAAGTGCAACAAAACAAACTTTGGTGGTACTGTATCATGTAATGGTGGTCTAACAGATAAATGATGAGAAAATTTAAAGCTACCTGAGGATCTTCGTAAGCAGCTCTGTAAATAGATCACCCTTCAGACCAGCTTTGCTTTTTGCATCTGAGAATGAAAAAGAAAACAAAGCTCTGCATATAGGAACAAGAACGTTAACTAATCTATGTGTAATATCATATTGTCCTCATTTGGCTATACAGTACTAGAGTTGACATTTCAAGATGCATTTGATCTAATTCAGTTCAAAATTGGAACAACAAATTAATTCAAGCTTGATCTCAAAACAAAATGTGCAGTTCTTTTTGAATGGTAATGATGACATGTAAGAGACAGGTGGAATTATAACATGTACATGGTGTAGGTTTCGTGAGCTATAAAGTTATCTGCTTTAGGTGTCGGTGAAGGTTAGACATTCAGGTAATAAAATATGCCAAAAGCAGTTACTCAAGCAACTGGATATGATTTTGGAAATGGTCCAACGTTTCAAGGTTGTATCCACTACCTTTCGTCAGTGACGCTAAGAGACTGTAGGAGAATTGCAGGTTTATAAGCACAAACTATTGATTGATATGCAAATAAGTGAAGACAAATTTGCTTTAGTCTAGACTGACTTTTTGGTGCACTGAGGATCTGATAGGCCAGCATCATGTTGGACTCGAAGGCAGGCCGACTGTGGTGGGTCAGCAGTAGCTCCTGGTGTGCCTTGGCTACTTTGTTGCTGCCTGGCTTGTTGTCTGCTGAGTCAAAACTGGAGGAACAGAACACAGGAGATAAAATATAACGATATTCCAACCTTATTTCACAATAAAACATTCTGGTTCATTTTGAGATTTTTTTATCCCTTAAAAGCTTGGGTACGTACAGTTGAATGCCCAGTTGAATCACAAGCCTCAGAGACGTACAGAGACGTACAGTTGAATCACATGTTTATCGAGCTAAGCTGGGTCACGGGAATAGGAGAGTTTCCCGTGCGGGAACTGTGCCACGGAGGGGGAGAGATTCCCGCTTACGGGAATCTCTCCACCTAGCAGTGCCGAGTCCCGCACGGGAACTTCACCACTCAGGGCTGCCACGGAGGTTGAGAATTTCCCACAATACGGGAATCTCTCCACCTAGAAAGACTAAGTCCCGTACGGGAACTTCACCACTCAGGGCTGACCGTGCGCGCACGTGTTTTGGGGCCGATATACGGACGGGAATGTCACCATATTATACGAACGGGAATTGGACCATTTTAGTGGACATTTCGCGTACGGGAAATTCACCAGCAGTGACAAATAATGTCCGTCCGCGGACGCCGTACGGGAACATCACGGCCGATATACAGACGGGAACTTCTCCACACAAACGGGAATTGGACCATTTTGGTCGACATTTGTCGCACGGGAAATTCACCAGTTGTACTACAGGTGCAACCAATTTTTTATTGAACCGGCTGGAATCAAAACAACGCCCCTAGCTTGGTTTGAAGCAAAATTCTAAAAACGTCGAGTGATCGACGTAATCACGAGTGCGTCTTCTATGGACATTTCTGTGCTGTAATAATAGTCTTGAAACTCGGTAGAACACACACACATATGAAAAAGCCTGTTATACTACGGTACAAAAAAATGTCCGAAGAAGACACAATCGCAATTACGAGTAAGTCTTATACGAACAGTGCTGTTGATAGCGTAGTTGATAACGCTAACGACAACCGGCTCCTCGACAACGAACACAAAATGTTCGTCCTCAAATTAAAACATAATGATGTGTGTCAAACTCACGCTATACAAATGACTTAGCGAGCGGCTTAGACTTTACGGCTATTCCCCTATTCTCATACATGTACATGCTAATAGTCAGGACGCTAGAACTAGTACCGGGGTAGAAAAATATGGCGGACATAAACAAAACGACGCTATCCCGTCATACATTATAATGACGCTAGAGTGTTACGGTTGTAGCAAAAATAAAAACCTTGTTCGGTATTTCAGATTCAATCCCTGCGTATGTGTTGTGGGTTGCCATTTACTCATATTTTCCTTGAAATATATACATTTCCAGCAAGCTGAGGCTGGGGGTTTCTTAATCATACCGTTTGCGTTTCGAGTTTTGTTAGTCCTCGTACGCGTACTTTGTTGCGTACTTTGTTCTGTAGCGCTGATTTCCTTTTGCAAGGACGTTATAGCCTCGTTGGAATAACGATTCTTTTTTGTACCGATAAAAGACCGTAAGTTTAGTCTTGCTGATATCCGGCTCCTGAACAGTAAACACAAATCATGCGTCCTCACAACGTGCCCAGGCCCAACCTGGTTACAATGCAACGATGTACTAGTGCATCAACAGTTATTTTCATACTTGTCCGGCCGGGACGCTGAAAAGATGGCGACCATAAACAAAATGACGCTATCCCGTCATGCATTATAGTATATCAGCTTGGCGCGAGACCCGAGTGTTACAGTAGTAGTCTACACGACTTTGGTGATTCATATAACGAAATCAGACAGCTTTAATTTCTCTTTCAGATTTAGGTAGTGTAAGGCAAAAGCTTGTCATTCTTGTTTTCATTTTCAGATTCAAGTCGTCAGGATCAAGGTTAAGACCGTGTTGGGTAACACCGTTCGCCCAAGGACATTATACACATCTGTGTATAATGTCCTTGGTTCGCCGAATAATTTTTTAAAATCCGTTTTTCATTTTTACGTTGGTTTCTCAGTTATAACGTTTGCTTTTTTCAGTTTTGTTCCACTTTTGACTTATCTGTGTCGTTGATTTCCTTTTTGCTACAACGTTCATGTTCCTCATCAGTTTACTAACATCCGATTTTAAAAGTAACAGTTACCAACTAACAGTCCATCACAACTTTCAGACAAGTTACGTTCAATCTAAGATAAAATTGCTGAGTATGTTACTCTAAGTGATTACACATGATACTATATATCCGTGTTCGGTAGTTATTTTTTTTTCAATTTTGATGAATTTTACAGATTTACGAGCCGAAAGATTTGCGGCGGTGGGGACGCCAGGTTTCCCCGCCAATAACACAACACCGGATGCAGTGTCAAGTTGGAGATTACAGTGATTTCTTCGTGGCACATGCTTAAATAGAACCTGTATAATTACATATTTGTATTTATGTTTTAAAATGGTTGCAGTCGTAGATAGTGATGTTATATGTTGTTGTTATACGGGAACAAACATGGCCGCCGTTGAACTTCTATTGTTCTGCCGAAACAACTGATGCTATACCGCCATGCATTGCGAACCATACTCAAGGCTGTTGGACCGGATTTACAGTTTCTAGACGATTTCTTGAGCCGTCGGACACCCTAAGGTAAGGCCGGAGTGCTACAATTCCGCTAAGAGAAGTACTGTATGTCGAAAATCTCACATCGATGAACAAAGATTTCCAGCCGTCTTCCCATAGAATTTTGGGCATATTGTTAGTTGCCTCTTCAAAAATTTATGGGGTAGACACTGTAGTATTCAAAATGTAAATTTTGACCCTGAAAATATAGTTTTACACTTTTGCAACGGAGTTGCTTTTTTAAACCCTTATTTAACCCTGAAAAGTACAGTATGTAACAGTACACCTCTTCGGCGTGAGCCGCTTTTCAAGAGTTCAAGGGGAGGTGGGTCAGGGGTATAATGCTTCGGTTTCAGTTACAACTAGAGTTCCACGATCTCATACCTTCGCCAAATGATGTTAGCCTTTATAAATAAGAAATATACTAATCACCCTGATTATGCAAATAGGATCCTCGATTGCATGAATTATATCAGTCTGTTGATCATTAAGTCTTCATTTGCATAATCGATATTTGCCTGTGTTTTCTCGTTCTTAATAACATGTTACAAGCTTGAACTTCCTATCATGGAATGCAGCTGATTTATAGAATTTCCTCATTAATTATGCAAATTACATCAATATTTGCATAATTGTAATATCATTATGTCAAGCATCACTTCAGCTACCTACATACCAAAAATCACGATGATCCATCAATCGGTTCTTGAGTTATCCTCTTTTAAACATTTGTCCTTTAAACCCCCTGCAGTTCTAGAGCAAGCAACTAGGGGGCTCAAACTCATGTCACTTCATCCCCAGCACAAGAGCTACCTGCCATTCAAATTTCGTCACCCTAGCATGTCTGGATCATGAGATATCAAAACCGGAAGTTCAGCTGCAGTACCATGACAAGCCGCCAGGGGGCCCAAAATCTAATCATTTTGAGGTCTCATCAAGACCTACCCACCTACCAAATATCAAGATAATCCATCTAAGCTTTCTCGAGTTATGCTGTTGACAGACAGACAGACAGACAGACACACACACACACACATACACGAACGCCTCTGAAAACATAACCTTCTTGGCGAAGGTAATAATCAGTCATAGAAATACAATATAAATGCATACAATACAAGTTCATACAAAATTCAAACATTATTTCGATTCATATCTTATTGCTATCAGTATCGATATCCAAGTTTCATTTCACAAATTAAAGTCATTCTAAGTGACTCGACGCAGTCGGTTTTTAAAAGCTGCAACTGATGTGGGGTCCTTCCAGCCCAGTCGATTCCGTACTTCAGCCGACGGCGTTCTGTGCGGGGCTCCCAGCAGCAGTCTCCCGGCCCTGTTCTGCATCCGTTGCAGTTTTTGTAGATCCTGCTCTGGTGCAGTGTCCCAAACAGTGCTTGCGTAGTTTACGTTATATATGGTCAAAAATACTGCTGTACAAGGTAATGTCATTTCAAGTTAGTTTGGAAACAGATACATCGCTAAAATGATGAGAAAGAAACAAAGTCGGATATGATCACTTATGAGTTCTACGAATGAATAAAAGTCTTGCAGTAGAAATTGCAAAATTGCACGTCCTTTGCACTTCTAGGCTTTGTTTATAATCTGGCACCCAAAACAGAACGCGTGTGGACAAATCTTAAGCTTATCATCTTTATCTAGTCTTTTCACAATGTAAATTTTGGACCCGAACAATATTTTTTTTACACTTTTTCAACGAACAGAGTCAAATGCCTTTTTGAAATCGACAAAACATAAGTAATGGCGTTTGTTTTCGGTGAGGTATTTGCTTAGCAGGGAATCCATAATAAATACTTGTAAAGTCGTCGTTTGTGCCAAATCGATTTGTAAATCCGGCATGATTAGGGGAGGCAAGTTTGTGCTCGTCCAGAAAAGTTGTTAGACGTGTGTTTAGTATTGACATAGATAATTTGCCACAACTTGTAACTGATATCCCCCTACAATTACCGGGGTCATCTTTTATCCCGCCTTATGATAGCCTGGGACCCTGGGTACCATCCGGATTGAGATCCGCTACGCTAGAAAAAGCGGAGCAAAATCCGGATTGAACCAAGGCTAGCTGTATAATAGGAAATGTAGATGTTTCCATCATACATGTGAGTCATTATGTCACCAAAAATAACGTTAGTTGTTACATCGTGTATATGAAGGAACAAGTCAGTTAGTAAACCAATATTATTGTTCCGAACTACTAGAGTGTTCCAACACGAAAGGAAGCCGTCAACAACATCCAACAGCAAAAGCATGATACAACACAAACGAATGACATCTCACTGGTTTTATGTTAGTAGTAACCTTAGATGTAAGATCGTGCCAGACTTGGTTGTGTTAGTAACGGCAACAATAACGCGAAGGCAACAGGTTGGAATAAAAATAAATGAAGTAGGTCTGATTCCTTTTTCCCTCCAAGATCCAACCGATAGTCTCTTGTGACAGGCCTGGTCTCGTAGCGATACCTGAAAAAACGTACGACTGACATGAATTCTACGGCGC